CATAACTATTATTATTATTTCAGATTATCCGAGTCACCGAACTGAACTTCTTGACCATGTTGGTTGTATATGATGTAAAAGTGACTGTTTTAGAAATCTGTGCTGTAGTTTGGTGAGTGAAATTCAAATCTTTTGCTTATAGATATTTATAACTAAGCACTTGACTAATTAAAACCACCCATGGTTCCAAAACTTCACGATGGCGAGTATGCCTAAATGAAGCCTGCGTAATGCCACTTGACAAACCCTTGGGTGAAGGGATGGTGGCATCTTAACCGGGCAAGCTCTATTGGTTCTACTGCCCCAAATCAGGCACATGACTAAGATTTTAGAGAGAACAATTATTTCAAAAATTGGCTCTTACCTGTAAGAATAACATGTAAGCACTTTTAAAGAATGAATAACAGAGCTTCACTCACCTGCGATACAGAACAAATGGTCCTTAAAAATCTCTACTTCCTGCCTTCACAGGTAGAAGAGGTAACATTAACTTTGGAGCCAGAGCCGTGCTCTTTGACGCCCTCCCCGCTGAGGGAAGATGCCTCTTCGACCAGAGGTTCAAGCCCAGGACTACCAGCACAGACCAGCGAACCCGTCGCAGAGAGGATACCCTTTGACGTCACGCCCTGCGTCGTCCAGTCATTGGAAGAGAAAGATGAAGAGGCAGACGAGGGCTCCATTGTTGTTGTTGCAACCAACTGAGTCATTTGGACGAAACTCTGTCAAAAACTGGAAATTAATACTTCAATAATCAGTCAAGCTATTATCCCAACCCCTCCCTCTCCCAAATATTTACCAACTTTGAGGCCGAGGAAATGCGACTTTTTTTTTCCGATGGGAATGTGGGATGTAATGTACACTATGGCCAAGGAGACACCCCTACCACCAGTCTAGTATGGGGAATCTGGAATATCACATATATGAGACTAATTAACTTTAATTTAAGGCAGAAGAGAGACTTGAATTCAGTGACTGCTGAAACGAGCTGTTTGAGAATAAAGATGCATTCTATAAACAGTTTGGACTGACTGGAACAAAGAACCAGGACTGGAAGCCAAACTGGCAACACAGGGATGGGGAAAATTAGAAGAAGGTGGGATAAGAAGGGGCCTATTTATAAATTCAGCGCAATACAACAAACATGGGCACAATCAGGGTTTGCAAATAATTCCGAGTGGTTGTTTCAAGATGCGTTCAGCATCAGAAGTTGGCTTTTGTATGCAAAAATAAGGTATTTCAAGGCCAGAAATACCTGGTCAGAGAGCAGTTTGATTGGCTAATTAATGTGTTTAGGTTTGAGTGACGGCTGAGATGTCTTGATGAGGTAAAGACGGCGTGATCTAGAACTCATGGCAACCTGAGGCATGCACTTGGAGTTATTTGCAAACACTTGCTCTGGACACAACCAAAAGAACGTGCATGCTTTTTAACAGTGAACTAGCCCTAACAGTATAACACAGTAATACAAAGTAATAATATATCAAATTGCTTTTTATAATAAAAGGGAAAAAAATCAAATAAACCGATATGTATTTGTATGAATGTAACACTGTATGTATGTTTGTATGAATGTAGCTTTGTTTGTGTGTAAAATATATATTCTGGGAAACAAATTCCTCTCTGTGCTGTTCTGTG